AAAACCATTGCAGGACTGTGTGCACTTTTATTGCTTGTTTTAATTGTCTGGTTCAGCCTTTTCTCCTCTTTGTGTTGGCTCAGGCAGAGCCAGAGGAGCTGAGATTTAGCTCAGTCTCTTGTTCACTTAATTACAGTGAAAGCTCAGAGCCAGGAGCTCCTGCCACCCCTGCCCAGCCTCCAGGGCTCCACCGACAGCCCAGGGAAAACCTGGGGCTGTGGATGCCCCAAAACTGGGCCAGGAATGGGGGATGGAGCAGGAGAACATCCCAGAGGATGGGGACAGGCTGGGAGAGCTGGGGGGGCTCCCCTGAGCCAGGGCAGGGCTGGGATGGGGGTCCAGGGGTCACCTCCCACCCCTCAGCATCCATGGATCGAGGATCTGGGCTGGAAGGGACCCTCGAGCCCTGGTTCCTCCCCCTGCTCTTCCCCTGGGGTGAAATGTGCTCCTCAAAGCCCTCAGTGATGCTCTCATCCCCCCCTGCCTCCGTGCTGCTGGGTTTTAGGGCATTTCCCATTTGGAAATTATTTCTGTGCAGCTTCTCAGAGCCTGTGCACAACCTGAAGTAATTGTATTTGCCTTGGGTTGAACTCTTTTGGCACTTTCTAAAAATAAACACTCCACTTCTTTTCCTTCCCGTGGAGCTGCCTCTGCTGGGAGCAGAACCAAACAAACTGGTAAAAAATTAAAAGAAGTGGGAAATCCAACAGCACAGCCCCAAGTCTGTCAGGAATGTTCAGCTCCCAGCAGTGACAAATCAATTCCAGCCTGGCAGGGGACGGCCCCAGCCCCAGCCCCAGCTCTGGGTGCTGTCCCTCCCTCCCTGCCTGTCCCTGCCCTGGCACAGAGCAGAACCCAGCCCCGAGGGCAGCAGGAGCCCAGCCCCGGGCCAAGCACCCACGGCAGCACTTGGGGAGCTCTTCCCCCAAACACAGCCCCCAGAGAGCTCCATCCCTGCTCTTGACCCCCAAAATCTGCTTCTGGCAGCTCGAGGGGCTCGGTCCCACAGGGGAGACACCCAGGAGCCTTTTCCCTCCTGCCCAGGAGCAGCTTTTGCTCTGACTCATCCTGACGTGCCTCCTTCACCACCTCACACTTATTCCATTATTACTTCAGCCCTGGCCCCGCTCTGGGAAGCTTATCTCACACCAAATCCTTCTCAGTCAAGCCCTGAACGCTGATTGTTTCAGAAGGAAAGGGCCAAGAGCTGCCTGCTGGCTGCTCATCAGCCCCGGCTCCAGTGGAGGAACAGCCTGAGCTCGGCAGGGCAGCAGCTCCGGGTCCTGCTCCTGACACCTGAACGAGCTGGGCTCACCTCCTGGCACAGGGGTCTGAGGGAGCCCAGCCCGAGGCTCCTTTAGCTGGAATCCATCCCTGGGCACTCCTGAGACCTTGGGGGGGGTGGATGCTTTCCTTGTTCCCACTGGGATCCCTGGACATTTCTCACAGGAGCTCAGAACACAATTGGCTCCTGTTTGCCGTTGAGGTTTCTTGCCAAATTTTGGTGCTCCTGCCCTGGGCAATATCGAGGGTGAGCTGACCAAGGTGCACGGACAGGGCAGAAACCCTCAGGTGTGCAAGGGTTGGTTCCTCACTTGTCAGAACCACTGAGGCTGGAGAAGCCCTGTGAGACCAATTCCAGCTGTCCCCCAGGTGTGCCCCGTGTCCCCAGTGCCACCTGCAGGGGTTTGGGACCCTCCTGGGCTCTCACTGAGGCTCCTCCATTCGTGCTGGGCTCCAGTGGTGCTGCAGCTGGAGCTGCTGCTCTGCCACAGCCAGCCCTGCCCTTTGCTCCCCGTGCCTTCCCCTGCTCCTGCAGATTAATCCGGGCCTGGAGCTGGAGCTGCTCGGGTCTCCCTCATTTCAAACATCATTTATCACTCAGGATTATCCTGCAGGGGCTCCTGTGCAGTCATATTTAATAACATAAACTGCTTCAAATCAAATGATTCCTCCTGTGAATTTAAGCTGAACTGACACAGCAGCTTGACATTTCTCATTTCCACACTAAATGGGAATGGGGGGTGCTGGCAGCAGCCCCGATGGGCACAGGGGCCTCACCCCTGCCAGAGGCTCCATAAAGCTCCAGTGTCCCAGCCAGGGAGCCGCTCCCAGCCCTGAATTTGGCCTTTGTGGGGTGGCTTTGGGGTGGATCTGGCAGCTGGGCCGGGCTGGGCACTCAGAGCATCCTCCCTCCCTCCCTGCCTGCCTGCCTGCCCTGCACAACGAGCTCCTTGTGCCCTGGAGCTGCTGCCGTGCCAGCAGCTCTGGGGCTGCAGCATCGCTGCCTCCCGAGGAAAATGCCGGGGATGTCTGAGCTCAGGGATCTGCCAGGGCCCGTGCTGGGGGAAATGGGCTCATCTCTGCAAGCCCTGAGGGCCCAGGGCCAGCCAGGGTCGAGCCAGGATGGGCATCTCCAAATCCAGCAAAGGCTGCACCTCCAGCTCTGCTCCCCACTTGTCCAAAATCTCTGGCAAATGATTCCGACTTCCCCTGGTGCTGCTCCCCCTGGGGAGGATCCTGCTGGAGCTGAGGGACACAGGACACTGGGGTGGGGGTCTCAGAGCTTCCTCCTGTGCAGCCTCCTGCAAAGCGAGCAGAAAAGGCTGGGTTCAGTCCCAGGATAACACAAACAGTGTTTCCCATTGCCCTGGAATTAGGGAGTGACTGAGCAGGAGAGCTCAGCCCCAGGCAGGAGCAGCCACAGTGCCCGAGCTGTGCCAGGGCTGCTGGAGCCTGCACCATTGGCTAATGAACCCTGGCTGGGGGCTACTGAGCCCAGAGCCCCCCACTCCTGCTCCTCTCCCTCCTCCTCCTGCACAGGGTTTGTCTCCAAATTCGGGGAGTTTCCTTCCAGGAGGAAACACAGAGCCGTGGCTGAAGGCCAGAGCACCGACCAGCTGCTGCAGGGAACCCAGAGCCAGAGCCCAGCCCCTGCCAGGGGGGTGGGAAGGATGCTCAGCCCCTGCCAGGGGGGTGGGAAGGATGCTCAGCCCCAGCCAGGGGGGTGGGAAGGATGCTCAGCCCCTGCCAGGGGGGTGGGAAGGATGCTCAGCCCCTGCCAGCACATGCTGGTTATTCACCAAGTGGCACCTGGACCTCTGGAAAATCCAATTTCATTCCTCAGTGCCTGGTCCTGGCAAAATAAAGAAAACATTCATTAGTTCTGGTGGTTTTGCAAAGGTTAATGATGAATTTAAGATGAATTTTCAAGTTTCTCTGGTGGCTGCAGGATGCAGTGGCAGGAATGCACTCAGAGCCTGGGGAGGTCTCCCTGTCACTTGTTTGGGACAACACCACAACCTGCAATTAAAACTCCCAGTGAGCCAGGACGTGTGGGACCATCTGAGCCAACCCACACTGGAGGGGAAAACATGACTTAAAATAACCCTTAGAAAGCACTGAGAACAGACAGGTTAATGATGCACAGGCTGGGAGGGTGAGAGCAGCACGGGGACTCTGGTGGGGTTTGTGCACAGCTCACACAGGAGCTGGTGGCTCCAGGGACATTTTAAATGTGTCCCTTTGCTCACAGCAAAATGTGGGTTCAAAAGCAACCCGGGAGGTTTTGGGAGGTTTTTCTTTTCCCCTTTTTTAGGACGCTCTGCAGTCATTCATTCTGAACCCAGTGAGGCATTAACCAGCGAGTGCTGCAGGACATTTCTGTCTGACCCGGACCCGGCAGAACGGCAGCTATTGTGCAAAAATCCATTAAAGAAGAACTTTCTTTCTTTTTTTTTTTTTTAAATCCAGCGAGAAAACGAGCGCCTTGTGGGAGGCAGAGGGGAGAGGAGAGGGTGGGACCCGGGTTCAGGCTGCAAATCTGCGAATTCGAGCGATGTCAGTGGAGCCCTGAGCCTCTCCCACACTCCCATCTAGCGGCAACCACGGCAACCTGCCTGCTCTGCCATCCTCATCATCCTCATCCTCCATCCCCATCCTCATCCTCATCTCCATTCTCATCCTACATCCTCCATGCTCATCCTCATCCTCCATCCCCATCCTCACCCTCCATCCTCATCCCCATTCTCATCCCCATCCCCATCCCCATCCTCATCCCCATCCCCATCCTCATCCTCACTTACCCCATTTGCACCCCACTCTGTGCCCCAGTTTACACCAGAGACATCCAGCGACCACCACGTTGATTGGAATGACTTTATCACTAAAATATTTTTACATTCCATCGAGAAAACCAACCTGCAAACGCCGTGCTCCTGCTGCTCCAGGAACAGGAGGTGCCGAGGTGGCTTCAGACAAGCGGCCTCAGCCTCTGCTCTTGTCCTGGTGCCTGGCAGATGTTGTCACATCATCCAGATGTTTGCAGTCCCAGGGACTGGGATCTCTGTAATCCAGCAGCTGCATCAGGAACAGAGTTTTAGAAAAACTTCTTCACCAAACCTGCTCCCCTGGTTTGCAATGAACTCTCCAGGGGGTGCAGGAATGTGTCACACTTCATTTCCCATCCGAAGGTGCAGGACGAGGCCTGTGCTGAGGTTTCTGCCCTGTGAACATTTCTGTTCTCCCCTCCTCAGAAAGGAGGCAGCAGCAGATCCCCAGGAGGGGTTGGGGTCCCAGGGGGCTCTGACCTGCACACACAGGAGGATGCAGCACCCGCACATCTCCTCACATCCTGCTCCTTGGAACTTTGTGAAACAAACAGGAATTTAAAAAATGCAAGGAACAAACCCAAAATGAAATAAAAAACTCCTTCAGCCGAGCAGGGACCACCAGCAAAATCCAGGTTTGAAACCCAGGATCATCATCCAAGTCAGACCCTGGAATGAAACCAGCCCTGTGCCCATCAGTCACTGCACAGAGGAAACAACTGCAGCAATCCAATCGTGAAAAAGCCAGGAGAAAACAGGAGCTGCTGCTTCCTTTGGGAGGGGAACATGAAACACAGGGGGAGCAGAACGGGGTGGGGGCACCTCAACAAAACCCCTGGTCCACCAGCATGGGAGAGGGCTGGAAATGGTAACAAAAACACAGAAACAAAATGAAAATGTACTAAAATTTAATCATTCATAAAAGCTGTAATTTAATCTGTGACAGTAAAACACAAGAAGCAATATTAGAGTTGGTTTAGTATATTATATATTTTTGCTTTTAAAGCCATAGAAATCAGTTATCCCAGTTTTTTTCCTATAAAAGACCCATTTTTCCAAAGCATTATGCACAAACATTTTTAATTAGAATACAATGGCAGAATGAAAATAATGATATTCCATAACTTTTAAATATAAAATGAAGTCAATGACTCAAAAAGTTATTTGTTGCAGTGAGTTCAAAGGGAAATTTTGGATAATATATATCTATAGTTATAGATATAAAATATAACAGTGGAACATTTTTAGTGCTTGATGGGGAGAAATTATGATAAAATGGTCAATATGAATTTTAATTATAATAGCAATCTCTAACATTTGAAATGCATCCATGCTCCTTGGGATAATCATATGCTAGAGTCAATGATATTTATTTTCACATCTGTTAATTGCTATTGCAAAGGAGGAGGAATATTGGCTTAAATTTCCAAGAGATATACACAGAGCAACTGCATTTTCCAGGGACTGTGTGCAAACCACTTTTTAAGATCTAAATTCTTCCCGCAGGATATAAAAAACAGGAGAAGCTTCTTCCGATATGTTACTCATTTCCAGAAGGTTCTGAAGTTGGGAATGCTGGCACTTTCCATGTAGGCAACAGTTCTTCATTCCTGCAATCTGGAGCGAGCAGAAGCAAAGAGCAATGAGAGGGGATGGAGGGACACTGCCCACCCTGCTGATGGCATCTGTGACCTCCAGGGCCTGCAGCTCCTGTCCCCAGAACCCAGGGCTGACTCCAGGGGCAGGAACAGGACATTGCACGGAGTGGAACCCCCAAGGCTGTGTTTTATCAGGGCACGGAGCAGGGCCACACAACTGCCACCCTCCTGCCAGTCCCTGATAGCAGCAGGGCTCCAGGGGCTCTGGATTCAGCCCTGGAGCACAGCCCGGGGCAGGGGATCTCATCTTCTGCATTTTGGGAAGGGTCAGAGACCTCCCGAGCCACAATCCCACTGGGATCGATTCAGAGGGGCTGGGGAGGTGCTGGAGGCTGGAAGGGGATGAGCTCCAAGGTCCTGCCAAGCCAAAGCACCCCAGGATTCTGGGGTTCCAGGGACTGAGCACGGAACTCCTGCACAGCTCCCAGTGTTCCTGTGCTGGGGCTCAGGGATGTGGCAGGGAGGGACAGGGCAGAGATCTCTTTTTCCTCCCGGGCTGGGGAAGCCAAATTCCAGAATTCCATCCTGGCTGAGCAGGAGGGACCACCTGGGCAAGAGGAAAAGCTCTCAAGGCTCTTCAGTTCCCTAAAGCCAACGTTTCCCCACAGCCCTGCTGTGTTCTGGCACCCTGCAAGGCTCATCCATGAGGGCAGCCCCTGCACAGCCCCTGATCCTGCTGAGCCACCCAGGGGTGACAGCAGCGACTCCAGAGCCCCCTGTCCCCAGGAACCCAGCCTGGGACCCTCCTGAGCTGCCAGCCTGTCCCGGGGCTGCTCTGCCCCATCCACACAGCCCAGAGCAGAGGCTCTGCTGTGCCCCAGCACCCCCCTGGCGTGACAAAGGCAGGTGACAGAGCACCAGTGCCCCTCTGTGCCCCCAAATGGGGACATTTCTGTCCCAAACCTGGAGCTGCAGAGCTGCTGCTTCCTTCCAGGAGCATGACAGAACAGCTGTGAGCACACAGAGTTCCCTGCCAAGATACACAGGAAGATTATTTATAGCTCTGTCCAGCCTTGCCGTGGTTTTGTGTTTTTTTGTGGTTGGGTTTGTTTTGGGTTTTTTATGTTTGTTTTGTTTTGTTGGGTTTTTTTTTGGTGGGCAGTTTTTTATTTCTGTGCCATCGAAACCCATGTCCCACCCAAAGCAATTTGTAATTGTCCCCAGAGCTCCCAGCACAGGGACAGCAGTGGCAGCAATGACACCAATGTTTACCAGAGGATAAAAAGGAAGCCAAGTGAGCCCTGCTGGCTCAGAGCTCGGTGTCACAGGCCAGAGGGAGAACCCAGAGGAGTCAAAAGGAAATTCCTGCTCTGTCACACTCCACAAGGGAAGGGGGCTCTGTCAGGAGCTGCTGGGCTCTGCTCACCTGCCCCAGGTAAGATTCAGACACCTCTTACCTGGCTCAGAGCTGCTGCATGATGGGAGTCTAAAGCAGCAGACATGATTTCTTTTTAGGCTTCTTCTTTTCCACTGGTGTTTTTCTATTTATCTGTCTGACCAGGTCATAAAAGATCTGCAAATAAAAAACACAAGCTGCAAAACCCAAGTGATAAAACAAAAGCTGTGAAAACTGAGGCAGGCTGGGGAGCTGAGAACTCTTTCCTGGTGGCTGTATTGTTTAAATTCAATTAAACTGCTTGAATTTATGAAATGTTTCTCAAGCAGCTGCTCATGGAAGAAAGAAACCCAAAGCTCCCATCAGTGTGCAGAACATAAGGGAGCTGGAAACTCAATTTATCAGCAGCAAGGCCTTCAGAAGAGCACAGCAGAAATGGCAACGATTTCCTTGCTTTGGGAAAGGGGGAGAAAAGTCGAGATTTTTTAAAAACAGGCACAATGTCCCCATGATCACCTTGCCAGTGGTGCCCCCGGGCCGGGGTGTGTGCAGAGCCTGCCCAGAGCCTCCCTGGCCCCTGGCTGTCCCTGCCAGCATCTGCCCTGAACTCTGCCATTTCCACCAGGGACACTGCAGGGCCCTGCCAGCTGCAGAGCTTTTGTGAGCCCTGCTGCTGGGAGTTGTTTTCCCAGCAAGACTCAACCCATTTATAGCAAAATGAGCTTTGCAAAAATGCTTGGAGCTAGGTCACAGCATTGAGGAGAAATATTTCAACCTTCAGAGGGCTCCACCCTTGTCCTTGTTTATTTTTTCCCCTTCCTGGAGTGGCTGACAGATCACAAATTCTTGTTGATTCCAAAGAAATTCAGAAGACAAAGAAACAGTTTATAACACACTGTAACAACTGAAATTTAACATTTTCCTTTTTCATAAATGAGATTATTTCGGTACTGGTACTGACTGTGAGTACAGATATCTGCAACAAGGTTTCAGGAATGGCACCATCCCTAAAATCAGGCAGTGTGCTGCAGGAGCACCTCAGAGGTCACCAGAAGGACACTTGATTCACTCTGGATTAAAAGCTTATTATCTGAAAGGTTTGATTCACATTCAGCAAATGCATCTAGGAATCCACCACTCTTCATCTAGATTTTAACAAATTTAGAAACTCCAATAATAGTAAGAAAGCAAGAATAAACCCCAAAAGAATGCAAATGCTTCCCCAGCCCAGGAGCCAGCAGGACACACTCCCAGTGCACTGAGCTGCTTCATTCACAGATTCTCCCTTTGATTTCCTCAGCTTTTGTGCTTCTCACAACTAGGAAATATCAACTGGCAGGACACCAGGAAATGAAGATCACAAGGAAACCAGAAACTCCTCTCCCACATCAGCACATTCCTGTCTCTGATGTGACCCCACTGAGGCTGCAGACCTGGCAGGGACAGAGGGAGAGCAGATTCCAGGGCAGGGATGGGGGATGAGGGATGGGGGATCAGGGATGGGGGGTGAGGGATGGGGGATGAGGGATGGGCGATCAGGGATGGGGGATCAGGGATGGGGGATCAGGGGGTCCCACCCGGCTGTGCCCCCCCAGAACCCCCTTCCCCCAGGCTGGGACCCCTCCTCCTGCACCCCAGGCTGTGGGAAAGCAGAGCCCAGGCTGTGCCCCCTTCCCTGGGATCTGCTGCTCACTGAGCTGCTCCTTCCTCGCTTCAGCCCCGGTTTTAGTCCAGCTCAGACACACAAACAAATCCCTGGGGGCAGCAGCTCTGCTGGACCCTGAGCACTGCAGCCAGGCTGATCCCAGCCTCAGGAGCTGCAATTCCTGGAGCTGCAGCTCCGTTCCCTGTGCACAGCCCCATCAGCACATCCTGCTGCCTGCCAGGCCGAGATCCTGCAGCTCCTGCTTATCACACACCCCCTGCACGGGCCCACTTATCTGCTGGCACCAGCCCAGCCCTGCTGCACGGGTCACCTTTGCTTTTGTGCCTGGAAACTTGGCCTCTGGCACAGCAGATAATTCCCAGCACAGAATAAAACCCCAGGCAGCCCAGAGCAGAGGGGGCTCAGTTAAACTCAGGGGACTGCTCAGGCCTGAGTTTGGGCTCGGTTTTAGCAAGCTGGGGGCTCACAGAGAGGCACTTGCAGCCAAAAATGCAAAATGCTTCAAAACCAGCAGCCAGCACCACCCAGGACAAGGGGGACAAGGGGCATCACCCACGTTTGGAGTGGCAGCAGTTATCCCGACAGGATATTCCTCCCAGATAACGCTGATCCAAGCTAAGACACCCAAGTGGGTGCTCAGGACCCTCTGCCATTCCTGGCCCCTGAGAGAGGCCACAAACACCGACCTGGGAATTCAGCCTGCCTCTGCAAGAAACGGGAGCAAACCTCCTTCAGGCAGACAGAAAATGCCAAATACACTTTATACACCTAAATACACAGAAAGTGCCAAATACACTTTATACACTTTAAATACCTAAATACACAGAAAATGCCAAATACACTTTATACACCTAAATACCTAAATACACAGAAAGTGCCAAATACACTTTATACACCTAAATACCTAAATACACAGAAAATGCCAAATACACTGCAGGGCAACCCGTCCCTAGGCAGAGAGTCCAGGATCATCCTGAATGTCCCCAGGTCACACACACGTGCTGCTTTAATGTCCCATTCATGCTGGGCAGACACAGAGCAGGTGGCACTTACCTCATTTACGTTGATTTTCGACTTTGCAGACGATTCTAGAAAGGCACAGTTACACCACTGTCGTGCTAAGTTCTGCCCCTGCTCTTTGCCCACCACTCGTTCTTCCTCCAGGTCACATTTATTGCCAACCAGGATCATGGGAACCTGCAGGGGGAGAGATCCATCAGCAGGTCCATGTGCAGAGAGCTCTGTGCTGCTGGGGCTCTCAGACCGAGGAGGGGGAAATGCAGGATGGAAAAAATGTAGTGTGGAAAATGCAGCAGGGAAAATGCAAACCAATAAAAGCCAGCAGACAGTGATGAAGTGGCATCTGCCCCTCTGCAGTGCCTGTCACAGCTGTGGCCCTCCAGGATGTCCCAAACAGGAACAAAAGGTGTCCCAGGGCAGCCTGGACAGGGCTTGGAGCACCTGGGAGTGTCCCTGTCCCTGTCCCTGTCCCTGTCCCTGCCCAGGGAGGAGCTCTGAGGACCCTTCCAACCCAAACCACTCTGGGATTGTGCAACAAGGGAGCAAAGACCACCCAAAAATGTCCCCTCACAAGCCCCAGGTGCCACCTGCACAGGGACAGGAGTGGCCCCAGGGCTGCCCCAGGCGAGGCTGGGCACACCTGGCCCTGCTCTGTCACCCTGGCACCCCAGAGCAGCACAGTGCCACAGCCCAGCACCATTTCCTGTTTCCCTCACACTGAGGAGCAGAAAAAAAAACCCTACAGAGTGCTGATAAGGGTGTGCACTCGCTCCATTTCCTCAAACATTTCATTCTTTCAGCAGAAATCGAGTCCTTTCCAGCTGGAAAAGAAATCACTGCCTGCTCCCTTGGGAATTCACAGCACGCTGTGTGTTTTTAATCTACTCCACTGTTAGGATCTGTGGTCTCTTCCTGACACAATTACACTCAAGATTAATTTTTGTCTTTAAAACTCCCAGCCATATCCCTTAGTAAATGATCTTATTTTTGTTTTTGAGACATAAATTTTCCTTATTATATCAGGAACCTGAAGTCACAGTACAGATGAAGCAAATGCAAAAAAAAAGCTCATTTGAAATAAGATCTACAGGATATTTACAACTCTATCAGCCTAGACAGAGCTGTATATATCCTGTTCTTTGCAGTTTTCTAGGCAGTTAAGAGAAATTTTCTCATACTGAAACATGAAAATGTGTTTTGAACATGTTCAGCAAAAAACTAAAGTGTATGAAGATGTGAAATAATGGGGCAAAAAGGGATCCTGAGATGAGTAAGCAGCACAGGTTTGAGAGACATGAAACTGTGTAAGGTTATTTCAAAAGTTATTAATGGTTTATCCAAAAATGGGGTTTGGTGAGCAACTACCTTTGATCATTTACTGCTAGGTGTAGAAGGTTGGAACTGAAACTCTTCCACACAGATGGAATGTAATGATTTATGTACTGGGACTTTAGGCATGTTCTGATATGAAGACAGAAAGGAGACATTTCCTAACAGCAAAACGTGCCTTAGACCTTCTAGAGGTTCTCAAGCTTGGGGTCAACAAGTGCCACACGAAGGAAATAATTGCATTTTAACGATGCAATCCCACCCTGAATCCAAAGGAAAGCAGCAGTGTGTGCTGGGGGATGAACCTGCCCAGCTTAGGGTACAGCACAGGATCTGCCAGCAGGGATTTACCCCACTAATCCTCCTCGAGGAAAAGCAGTTTTGCATAACTCAGCCTGCTAAAGCAAGGAGGGGCCCAGGGCCACTGCAGCCTGTCCCACCTTCTGTCACACACCAAACTCCCCACAGCTCATCTTCCCTTATTCTAAAAAGGGTTTGAAACAACCCAAACCAAGACTCCACCTCATGGTTTAGGTCATTCACTGTGTGAGCTCCTTGGTGACAGGTTTTGCTGAGTGACTGAGAGCTGAGAACTCCAGGCTGAGCCCTGGGAACAGCTCTGAAGTTCCACTGCCCCCTCACACATCTGGAATAACCCCTGTCAGTCTGCAGTGCACGACACCTCAACATCCTTACTGCTGTTCTTCCTTCACTTGGAGGGAAATAAAGCACAGAGAAAGAAGAAAATGCAAATCCTGGAAAGCAGTTTAAAGGAGAAAAAGTTAAGTAATGTTGTTTTCAATCAACTCCCACCATTTCAAAAGACTCAGGCTTCCAGGACATGGGAAAATCTGGGTCTGTGATGGCCCTGAGCAGGTGCTGTGCCTCAAACAACAACACTGAAAACCACACGGTTTGAAAACAACCAGCTCTGGAAAGCTCATCAACACTACCCAAGGATATTCCTTGAAAGAAGCTCTGTATGTAAACATGCAGGCATTTGAGACAAACACTTCTTCACCATTTGCAGGAATAAAACCAAACATTTCCCACTCACATCTTCAGTGTCCTTAACCCGTAGAATCTGTTCCCGCAGGTCCTGGAGGTCGTTGAACGTGGACTGTGCTGTTATAGAATAAACTAGTGCAAACCCCTGCCCATTCTTCATGTACAGATCCCTCATGGCTGTGAACTGCTCCTGCAAGCAGAGATTTGATAAAGCAATTAGCTGGTGAATGCAGCTAATGAACAGTTCCAAAGGAATACTTTTATTGTACTGGAGACAAGAATACAGTGCCACACAGCCTGGATTTCCATATTTACCCTCCCAGAAAGCCACTGAAGCATGGAAATTGAATAATAGCATTAACACTCTTTCCCTTTGTTGTTTTTTATTTCCTCTTAATAAAGGGCTTCTTGGAAAAAACGGAGAGAAGATGAGGAGGAGCAATAAAAGCATCTCTGCAGACACTGAGGTGCCAGGGCAGAGCATCTGGGCAGGGACAGGGCTTTCACCACACCCACACAGCAACAATTTCTGCTCCTGCTGGTGAGAACTCCCAACAAAACCAAGTGCAGGGAGCAGCAGCTGGGGCTGGGATGTGCTGCCAGCCCCAGAGGTTTGTGTGCTGGGGGACAGGGCTGTGCCAGCTGCAGGTGACACTGGCAGGGCCAAGGGGGCCAGCCCAGCCCTGAGGCACAGGCAGAGCCAGGGAGGTGCCAGGGCTGCAGGGAGGCTCCCTGGCCCCGCAGGGTTTGCAGAGGAGCTCCCCACACAGCTGATGGCTCTGCTGGCAGCAGCCAGGGCCCCTGCAGGCTGGGCACGGGCAAAGGTGACATCTAAAATCCTCCCAGGGCAGGATGCTGATGTGGGGGATGGCACAGGAGGCACCGCGGGCACTCAGCACACGGGGCTGGGTTATTGAACAAATCCTTCCATTGCAATCGCTGCAGCTGCTTTATTGCTCGGGCAGGATTATCACTGCTAACAAAGGAACTCCACAGCAATGAGATGAAGAAATGGCACTTACTGTCCCTGCTGTGTCGAGGATCTCCAGCATACACTGCTGACAGTCTACTTCCACTTGCTGGGGAAAGAGGGAACAAACAGCTCAGACTCAATTGTCTGCAGTGGGACAGGCAAGAGCAGCTCAGCCCAGTTTGCACTGCAGGCACCTGCACCTGCCCAGGGCTGCTGGAGGAGTCATTACACCCCAAACCAGGCACTTGGGTCAGCCCATGAGCTCCAGGACTCCCCTCATTAGCAAGGCTTAAATGAGCAGCTCACTGTAAACATCTCAACTTAAGTGAGATTGTAAATATCTCGACTTAATCCACTTTTACAAATCAAAGCACCTTAAAACTTCAATTTTTTCTTTGCTGCTTGGGGAGAAGGAAATAAGGAAGAGAAGAAAATGCAAAATATTTCAGGATCCTCACAGTGAGACTTTGTAAATCTTCCACTCACTGAGAAACGTCTTGGATCCAAGGAGGGTAATTCCAGGAAAGTCAAATAAATTTAACAGCAGAACTCACGCCACAATTTAATTTAATTATCGCAGGCACAAATGTCACAAGTTTTTAGTGTATGTTTTGGTGCCTTTAACGCTGGTGACATTTCTGCTAATCCCTCAAACAATGGGTCACTTGACATGCAGCCAGGGAAGAAAGCAGCTCTGTGCCTGGGATTACGTAAGAGCCCAGGGATCCTGCAAGGACTCCTGCTCAGCAGTGCCAGCCCTGCACCCACAACAGCCCCAAGAGCTGCAGAGTCTCTGTGGCACTTGGAAGGAATAAAAACGATGCTCTTTTACCTTTCTGTATGAGTCTTCTATTGTTGGGTCATATTTTTCAACAAAAATTCCCTGAACGAACTGTACAGTCTGGGGAGAAAGGAAAGGAGAAAAAACCTCAGTGAGCTGAACGCAGGCAGAATCATTCACCAAGAGCACTTTAGGAAAAAGTAACAACGGGAAAACTGCTCTGCTGTTAAAAGTCAATAGTGAGGACCAGAGCAAAAGACATAACGTTGCAATTCTGAAAATAAAATTTGTATCTTTTCTGTTAAAATCACATTATTCAAGCATGTTCTCAATTTGCACCTCAACTGTTTGCTCGCTTGTGTCAGAAAAGATGGTACCCTCAAAAATGCCTTTACTCCACTGCCTGTGACTTTAGAAGAATAAAAATCACCAAATATAGAAGACTTGAGATTTGAGCAGAAGCACTGGCAAACCTGTGCACCGTGGGAAATCCACATTTCAGTCCAAATCAGGCCAGAGCTGCAGAGCCAGGGCCACTGCAGAGCACGGCAGGAGGAGCCCTGGGTCCACACAGAGAAAAAGGGAAATTCTTCCTTCCCTGCAGCCACTGACTGCACATCTCAGCCCTCCCACCCAGCTGGGACCACCCTGGCACCCAGCTCTGGGCCCTGGCTTCTGCCAGGACAGACTCCTCCTGCTCCTCTGGGAGGCAAAGCTCCTGCTCCCTTTGCACCCACAGTAATGTGCAGAAGAACAGCACAGCAGTGCCTGGAGATTTGGGTGATGCTTGTAAAACCAGGTGGTGTTCGTTTGTAAACTGAGAGCTCAGATCCCAGCACGTCATTTGGTCTCTTGAAAAATCAACAAACACTCCAAATATCTTTTTCCAACTGAACCTTTCACAAGTTTTATACACAAATTCTGCCAGTTTGTGAGGAAAATCTGAGAAGCCACAACTACCTCATTTCCAAATGGTTCTATATCACTAAATAAGTGCATTTTACACTCTGATGAACGAGGTCTCTGCTTCTCCAGCATTTTCTTGTCACACTGAGCAGTTTTCCCACCTGCCTGAGTCCCAGACCTCAGAACAGCCCTCAGTGAGACCCCTCTGAACACGATCACTGTCAGATGAGCAATAACCCACAGCCCGAGGTGGGGCTGCAGGCTGTGCCCGAGGATGATTTCTGTATTCCAGCACAGCTGCTCCCCAGAGAAGGCAGCTCTGTGCCACACGCTCACATCAGCACTGTCACCTCTGTCCCCTCTGCCTGGGGGCTCAGCCTGCCTGCCAGGACCTGGCCAACCCCTGCTGGCAGGTGACACTCCTCATCTCTGCCGGCCTTATTTTCATTTATTACACGTGAAAAGGAAGGCCAAGGGAGAAGCTACAAATCTGGGGTGGTTTTGGGTTATGTGCAGTGCCAAGACTTTCAGAAGTTTCCCTCTGCCGGGGCAGTGCAGCCCAACTTCAGTTTCCAGTGCTCTGTAAGACTTTGCACCACTGGGCAGCTTTGTGAACTGTGTCACCCACTGCCACTCCAGAAGAGCTTTAGCCTCAGAAATGGGATAAAACTGCTGCACAGGAAACACAAGCTGCTAAACAGCTGTGGCTTTATAACTGGGAAGGTTTTCTGCTACTCCACCACTGTCACCAGAAGCTGCACCAGCACTGGGCTGGCACAGAAGAGTTAAAACAAGGAGGAGGATCTGCAGTGAAACAACCCCATATTGTCATCTGCACCAGGGCAAGCAGAGTGCAAATGAACACCAGGCTCTTTGTTGAACAGGTCAGTTTATACAGTTGGAAGAACGAAATTTAAAGTGACCCCCATATTATTTCAAATCCCACCTTGTAATCTCTCCTTGCTAATGCTTGTAAATAAGTACACAGAGTCTCTGAAAGCTAAATGCTATCCACTCCTAGCTGCTAATTGGCACTCATTGTGTGCTCCTAATAAACAGAATGGATCCATGCTGCATATGAATTACAAATATGCTGATTTAGCACCCAGGCTGTCAAAAGGAATTTAACTTTTGTTTACCAGACTATTTGAATATTTGCATTTCAGCTGTTAGAAAGGTCAGTGATGGTGCTGACTCAGACTTCACATCACAAAGAAGGACATACAGGTATGTCAGATGCTGAGTAATTTTTATTTACAGCATACTACTCATGTCCCATTTCACCCAATCAGTCTTTCAGTGTGACAAGAAAATTAAGCTGAGCAGGGAAGTGCTGATGGAAAAAGTAATACAGATTGCTTAAATTGCTGTGGAAGCTTGTAAAAAAATTACACCCTGTAAACATCTCGTAGTGATTAGGATTGGATTGCTGAAAGAACGCATCAAATTTGATACACGGGTAAATAACTTCTCCTGTTCCCTGGGATTCTGCAGGTGACTGCCCAGGATTATCAGCTGGCTGCAGCAGCAGGATAAAGGAGGCAGGGCAGGAAGGGCTGCTCAGCCAGGATCATGTCTGTGACAAGGAACACTGCAGCTCCTTGTTGTTGATAACTTCACACTTGACCAGTTCTTCGCCTCTGTGCTGGAGAGCTGCTTGACTGGTGAGTGATAAATGGGTGACACGAGTCTCTGTCACAGTGCTCTGCTATCGACTGTGCTGGGGAAACCCCTCCTCAGGAACAAGGCAGGCACTTCAGGAGTGCCAAGTGTCACCAGCCTGCTCCTCCCTCCCTGCACAGGCTGCAGGTGCATTCCCAGGTGCTCACTGGGCATGGAGAACGCTCAGCCTCGGAGGTGAACCCCAAATTCTGTGACCGATTCCAGCCAGGCTTCTCTTGCTGTGCCACTGCTGGCTGGGGTTTAACACTCACACAGAAATTCAGCCACGTACAACACGACAGCCATGCAGGAAGCAGACATGACACACTAATTACCAGCAATTAATCACCTCTCCTAAAGCAGGACACCCCTCCCCTCAGCAGTGTCACAGCGGTTACATGGAAGTCCTGGCATGTATCAGAGGTCCCACAAATTCCCCAAAGCACCAGTAAAGCTGGTGTGCAGGGAGCCAGGCAGGCTGGAGGGCTGGGTATGGTCAGAGCTGCTTCCCCAGACTCACCAGAGCAGATTTGCCCACACCTCCTGAACCAAGGACCACCAGCTTGTACTCACGCATGGTGTGGTCTGTTCAGAGAGCAACGACCTGCAGGGCAGGAGAGAAAAAACAGCGATTAAACACAGAGCTGGGACTCTGTCCTGGATGCAGCACTCAAATCACAGAGCTGGGACTGTGTCCTGGAAGCAGCACTCAAATCACAGAGCTGGGACTGTGTCCTGGAAGCAGCACTCAAATCACAGAGCTGGGACTCTGTCCTGGAAGCAGCAGCACTCAAATCACAGAGCTGGGACTGTGTCCTGGATGCAGCAGCACTCCCCCTTCACCCAATCCCAATCAATGAGAACACCTTTATTGACAGCTCTGGGTTTCATTTTTCCACCTAACACTCGTGTTGAGGAGGCCACTCGAGCAGCCCCAGGTTACAGGAAATGGCCAGAGCTGGATCCTGGCAGTGCTCAGAGAGGAAGAGGAGGGACACAGCGTGGGACACACACAGAGCCCGTCCCACGAGCTGTCACTGCCCGTGCTCTGCTTCCTCAGCATTTCACGGCTCAAAGCACAGCACGGGACAAGAAAAATCAGATCCGAAAGAAGCAAGTGAAGAGGTTTCCTTCTCCCCTCCACCCCCAGCAGGGAGGGATTTAGGTCAGTGCTTTCTCTCTGGAAAAGGTCAGGCCCAGCTCACGGCTGCCAAGGCAGAGCTCTGCTCGCCCAGCACAGACTCTGCCTTTTTATGGAAATCTCACAACTCCCTCAACCACTACGCAGCACCAGAAAACTTCTCGTTCTCCTCGAGATTCCCCGACAAATAAGGCGAATGACAGAGCTGGTGATAAACACTTCCCACGGTGTTTACACGAGCAGCCAGGCTGGGCTGTCCCAAGCCATGAGCTCAGCACTGTCCCCTGTGCGGGCAGGCGCTTCCTTCCCAAGTAAGGCTGCACACACAGCGCCGGAGCCGGGCAGCCCCGAGCACTCCAAACCAACGCTGCCACAGGATTTATGGCTCACTGGATACAGCCTTCGACAATAGAAACGCCTTCCAAGGGCTCTGACAGAGAAATGCAGCACCTTGTCGGCTGCGTGAACGAGCCCGTGAAGAACTGGGGGGTTTTTATTTATTGCATTGTTAGCTTTGAAATGTGGACAACTCACACGACCTGTGTCTCAAGTTTATGTAATCAGTAAATCGGGACAGGTTCTCTTCTGTCATTTCACCTCCCAAGGGGAAGATGTGAAGGAGCCAAGAGGAGCCCCATGTGCTGCTGCCCCCCCACCAGTGCCAGCTGAACTGGGACCCTCCCCAAATATCCCCCCAGCCCACCCTCAGCCTGCTTCATGGGCTGAATGTCCCCCAGGTACGAGTTTAAACAAAAATCTGAGAATCCCACGTGCAGCTGGACAGAGGCACACAAATTTCTGTGGTCGGTTTAGCACAACTTTACACTCATTTCTAAGCCAGAGTGACAGAAATAAAGGACTTGCCTGTGCTGAGGCTCTGTGCAGCCACAGCCAAGCTGCCCTTCCCTCACCCAAGCCCTGGAGAGGAGCAAGGCTCAGGCAATCAGTGCAGCCCATCATTTTGAGCACCTGCAGGAAGTTTTTCTTCAACTCTTGAAGCCCATGTGAGCTGCAGTTGCCTAACTGCAAATTGTGAAATCAAGTCAAACTGAAAGGGGCTTTCCAGAAAGTGCCTAAAAGCAGAGCAAGCAATGTCTGTGCACTCCAGGACACTGACAACAGATCTGGCTAAATTCTGGGAACTGTGAGCTCTTCTGCTTGACCATTTCCCTGAGAAGTAACATTCACTTCCTGTCTTTAAAAATCACGATTTTGAATGGGAAGGAGAGGTGAATTCCAATTAACAATCATTTTCCCCTTGATAATCCCTAGAAATTAAAAGCTGATACATTTTTTATAAAGCATAAATGCAACTTATTGATCCAGTTTGTCTTCATTTTCCTACAGTTTCACAGTCAGCTCCACTGAAGAAAACCCAGAAAGCAATCAAGCTAAGGGTTAAATTTAGCTGTGAACTATTTCACTTCTTATTTATAGTAGAAAATACTTGTGGGAAAGTTTAAGCTGGGAGCAGTACAAGACTAACTTCTCATTTCTTCTCTACAGTATTTGCTGATTTTTTTTTTTCAGGTGCAACAGGAAACCAGATCCTGAAAGGCACGAGCCTTATTACTGTAAACTCCACATGCCTTAATTATCTTGCAGCTCTTTCACAAGTATGTTAATGTTATCTGTTTATACAACATGAATAGAGTGCTCAAGAAATTACTATGCTGCATCCCAGCCAACTTTTCATTTGGCAACTGTTGAAGCCCACCTAAATACAGTCAGACACAGCAGCATTCATTTCCATCCAGAGCTCTCTGCAGTGGAGTCACATGCTGTGAAGCAACGGCTCCATTTCCAAATGGAATTGAATTATGGGTGTTAAGTGTTCCTTTAGAGTCAAGAGAAGAGTATGATCACTGAAGAGTGCAAGAAAGATTGAGTGGGAATGTTGTGAAACTGGTCTCATTGGTTCTCAGTGCTGTGGGGCAGAGCTGAAGCCAGAGCTGAGTGTGTCTCCCTTTTCCCAGGCACAGAGCTCGAGTGTCAGCCCAGCCCTGCCCTGGCTGCAGCTCCCTGGGCCATTCCAGCACTCTCCAAAGCACTACAGGCTGATAAACCACCCAGAATCACAAAAAAACTGCTTCTACACCATCAAACACCTGATACACGGGAATCCATCGGTGCTCTGCATTCTTTAACAGCAACATCTCTGCTCTGCTGGCACCAACGCTGCCCAGGAAGGGGCAGAAATGCACATTCATCCACCCCAGGCTGCTCAGCTCCTTCCTGACAGAAAAGGGAAGGGCTCTACCCTGGGACCAGAGGCAGTGCAGGCAGAGGATCCCTGGGAAGGACCACAGGATTCAAACACAGCTGGAAATCCAAGCTGAAATGTGGCTCCCTTTGTTCTGAAGGAATCATCCTCACCCTCCTGCAACCCAGGGGCTGAACAGGGCAGGAAGAGGCAAAAGTCCCAGGGTATTTCCCAAGCAGCTGGGCAGAGGCTGGGGGAGGTGGTGGGGACAAGGGCTGAGGCCCTCCAGGACAGAAACCTGATGCAAAAAATGAGCTGCTCTTTTACAAGTTTCAGCAACTCATCAAAAAGTTTATAATTTGGGCGGTGACGACAGAGAAGCATGAACTAAAATAAGCAAACACAGCACTGAAAGACAGTGAGTGCAAGAACTTCACTTACATATTACCCACTCCAGTGTTCACAGAAACTGCATTTAAAATATGATAAGAACACTAAAAAAACTCCTACCTTGGCATAAAAGATCTCTCATCAGTGTTAGCAGCTCTACTGAAGGTTCTTCCAGGCTCCCCACAGGAACTGAAAAAAAGAAGAATTAAAAAAAGAGTCAATCGTTTTTCAAGTTTCAGCATTTGCAAAGCATCTCTGTAGTGCTTAAGCCAAGTCACCCTGTTCCTGTGGACTTCTCCTCCCTGGAATATTCCAAGGAACACTTCACTTACTAATGACAGACTCAAATTAACCATGCTTGAGGTTGCATCAAGCTCACAATTAGTTTTAGAAGATGAAAACTTAGCAGAGAAAGTACTACCAGAAACACAGGAGAAAGGTTTAGGGCAGCACAGTGTCCTGCTGATGTTACAGGGGAAAACCATCACTCATCTGCTGCCAGCCAGCACTGCCATCCTAAAATCCAATGCACCACCTACAAAGCACAATTACTGCAGGGAATCCATCAGGATTGTGGCAGGGGGTGCAGGAACGAGATGAGCTTTAAGGTCCCTTCCAACCCAAACCATTCTGGGATTCTGTGGCAGTCCTGGAGAGCAGAACAAGTCCCAGCAGCACCAACCCCTGCCCCAGGAACTGCTGGCTCCTGGTCCAAGAGTTCCAGCAGCTCAAACACTTCCAGTGTCCCAGTGCTGTGCTCAGTAACCCTGAGCAGCAGCAGCACTGGTACTTCAGACAGAAACCACAGCACTGGCTGCACCCTGCTGCTCTGACAGGCAAAGGCTCCTGTCTTTTACAGGTTCAGCACTTTATCTCTTCTTTTCAAGGGATTAAAAAAAAGAATCAATTGTTCCTCTGGAAGCATAGGAAGTTTAAATGAAAACCTAGTATGCTGGTTTTTTGAAAATGTTTCTTTTTAGCAGCTCTGGAGTCACCTTGCAGTCACAGTCTGTTTCAAAACAGATAATGGAAGCTCTCATAATCCTTGTCAAATATTTTTCCAAGTGTAAGAGAAAGTGAGTGTAGAGGGCAGGGATGGATGGGATATTGGGAAGGGATTCCTCCCTGCGAGGGGAGTCCTGGCACAGGGTGCCCAGAGCAGCTGTGGCTGCCCCTGGAATTATCCAGGGCCAGGCTGGACACTGGGGCTGGAGCAGCTGGGACAGTGGGAGGTGTCACACCATGGCAGGGGTGGCACTGCAGGGGCTCTGAGGTCCCTTCCAGCCCAAGCCATTCCCAGATTTTTGGTGGAGGTGCTGCCAGTGGCAGCTGCAGGACTGCAGGCAGACCATGGCTCAGCAGCACCGGCTGCACTTGCACCCAACAGCACAGCCCGAGTTTAAATGAGGGTGAGAGAAAAGGAACAGAAAGAAGTGAGGCACAGAAAGGAGCAGCACAGAAACCACAGCAGCAGTTCCTAGAGACAATGTGGGGTGGCCTCTCGAGGTGCACGGTGAGCTGGAGGGGTTTTGCTCTCTGCTCTTCCCCAGGAGGATGCACTGGGACAGAAGAAGCTGTCCCTGGCTCAGGAGGGAGCAGAGAGCAAGGAGCACTCACCTGCCTTTAAGGAAGAAATAAAGAGAGAAACTCCTTGCTTGCTCATCACTCCCACCTCCCTTGCTCTGATTTTCACCAGGGGAATATTGAAGGTTTCCAAGGGAAAAGCAGTGTCAGCACTGTGCACACTCGGGAGAGAAGCACAGATGTCTCTGTCAACTCCAGCACCTCCACTCAGGGCTGGCTGTGCCACTCCTGCCCTTCCCATTTCCCAAATGAGAGGCAGATTCTTGGGATGCTGCAGCCACACGTCCTGGTTATTTTTATCCTGGCAGTTAAATACTGAATCGTGGCTACTATAAACAAACCTGTTTGATTTTCAACTTGTTCTCCATGCCAGTTTTTTTTTTTTTTTTTTCAGTTACTATAAACTAGGCCATGGAAAGGGGTGGATTTTCTTTTTTTAAAGTGTCAACTAAACATTGCTCAACACTCTACCAAAATCCCTCCTTTCCTCAGAGCCGTGTTGGCAAAACAAACCCAAACCCAGCACTTCTGCAAGGGGAAGATTTACAGCGATCAAAACCACACTTAAACTGACACATTTCCCTCCACAGCAAAAAAAAAAAAAAAAAAAAAAAAAAAAAAAAAAAAAAAAAAAAAAAAAAAAAAGAAAAAGAGAATCCAAACAAACAGAGGGAATGATGCAGCAGCAAGGGCTGCAATCACCAGGGCAAGGATGTCCCCTTGGCTGGGACCAGCCCAGCTGCTGCTCCAGGACAGCTCCATCAGCACCTGCTCCCTCATTTGTCCTACCCCGTGCTCAGGGATATTCCATTGCTCAATGAAGTCCAAACACGTGAAATACTTCCCTAATGCTCCTCCAAGCTGCCATCAATTACACGATGCTTACAGGAGCTGCTGGGAACAGCGATGTGCATCCCAAATGAAAGGGGTTAGGCTGGAAATCCCACAGCCCTCCCCCGAGGAGCAGCAGGGCAAACACTGTCACACATTACCCTGCCAGTCAGCAAGGATTCTATCCAATTCATAAAATCATGCCGTGGACTCACTTGCTCACGAAGCAAGGCCCTTCTCCAAGGCACTCAAACTCCCTGGTACAGGGAAAAGCTCCTCCACCTTTCCTGAGGCCACCAACACCAGAAAAATGAGAGCACAGAGGAAAAACAAGAGACTAAAAGACCAGACTAAGCAGAAAGCAGTTCAGTGTGACTTCAAAAGTACAGCTTGACAAACTTCCGTTCACAGACTCTGCATTTCTTTTCTTACTCATTATCACTGCGGGATCTGACACCAAAGTAAGTGTGTTTTAGATATTTACATAAGAACATAACATTGTATAATTTGCACCAGGAATCTCAGCCCCAGTTTTGTAATTTTAACACCAAAATCATTGTCATTTCCACTGACTGCTTTCAGCATCACATCAAATACCAATCAAGGCACAAATGTGTAATTAGCTCTGCACAAGCCTGCTGTAGGATGAGTCACGACCCCACTGTGGTGCATTCCTGATGCTGGAATATACACGCTGTCCCTTGTCCAAATCATCAGTAACCCAAGCCTAAATATATTTTCCTTTTGTTTTTTTAGGTAACAAATAACCCCCCAAAAGACACGGCAAGAAGCACACGCAGAAAATAAAGCTGGTGACAAGCCAAAAAAGCAAACAGGTATGTGAGAAGACAGGAGAACACTGCCCAGAGGTGTCACCTGCAGAGTTCCATCACAAAAGGCAAGAGCAGCCTTCCAGTCTTGCATCCACTCCCAAAAGCTCCTCAGAGCCACATCCCAGTCCCCACTCTCTGCATCACTCCGTGTTCCTGAGCCAGGGCCAAGGCCACAGAAGCCTGGGCAAAGAGTAAAGTCCTCCAGCAGCACAGCCCTTCCCACTCCAGTGTTGTGCTGAGCTGGAGCTTCCAGCAAATTAACTGCAGCCCACACAAACACGGCAGAGAAACGAACTGCTTGGAAAACACCAATAATCCTGTCATTGGAAATTGTCATTTTGTGCACAAACACTCTGGGATTGATCCTCCTCAGCCTGGGATCTTTTGTGCAATCAGCTTCACGCTGAACCTGCAATTTCAAATAACATAATGTTAACTTCTATGGAGGTGCCTGCCTAATTATTCATTGGAAATTGTTTTGCTGTAGAAGCTCTCCAGGCAAGGAACAAGGGCTCTGGGCAGCTGAAGCCTGCCATGCTGAAACGGCTAATTTATTTTTTGTCCTATTGGTCTGCACTTGCAGCAAGTTGCTAGGGACATGTGCCAGCCAGACAAAGGCAGGGGAAAGGAAGCCAGCAGCACAACTCAAAGACCAACACACACTGCATCCCCAAATTAGAACAAAGCTCTACGTCAGGGCTGGAGCTGGCAGCCTCCCCCCGGCCGGACTGCGGCACTCGGCACATTGACACCAGAGCCCGAGCTGCAGGCACGACACGGGGACAGCAGGACACGGGGACAGCAGGACACGGGGACAGCAGGACATGGGGACAGCAGGACA